CCCCCCCCCGTCTCTCTGCTCCTCACTCTCTCTCTCAAAATAAATTAACAAACTTAAAAAAAAAAAAAAGAATAGTATGATAGAGGGGCACCTGGGTGGTTCAGTCAGTCAAACATCCAAATTCAGCTCAGGTCATGATCTCATGGTTCGCGAATTTGAGCCCCACGTTGGGCTCTGCGCTGACAGTGCGAAGCCTGCTTGGGATTCTCTCTCTCCCTGTCTCTCATAATAAATAAATAAACTTAAAAAAAAATAGTAAGATAGAATGTCAAAAACTTATCTACAATAATTGTCTTAATTCTCCACTTTACTGTAAGAATTAAGACCAACCTCTTCCCCCATTCCTGTGTCCTTTTTTTGTTCATTTTGTGTGGGACAGGAAAGTGGTGGAAGGTAGCAAGTAACAAGGCTTTTTTCTTTTCAACCTTTTTTTCTGTCCTTCATTGACAGAAAACTTTGGGCTGGTTTTTTAACCATAGATTTAGCAAAAATTAATTTTAAAATTTTTTTTTAATGTTTATTTACTTTTGAGAGAGAGAGAGAGAGATAGAGGGCGAGTGGGGGAGGGGCAGAGAGAGAGACACACACACAGAATCTGAAGCAGGCTCCAGGCTCCGAGCTGTCAGCACAGAGCCCGAGTTGGGGCTCGAAGTCATGAGCTATGAGATCATGGCCTGAGCTGAAGTTGGATGCTTAATGGACTGAGCCACCCAGGCGCCCCCAAAATTACTTTTGGTATTTTGTTGTCTTGTAACCCAACTTTAACAAGGGAGTTTTTAAACATTCCTTTATTTTTCTCATGGAAAAAAATCATTTCAGATGATCGTTAGAGATTTTGTTTCTATCTGACCAAGATAAGCTAAAGAAGGCTCCTGCTAGTATTTCCATTTCAAAATATCACACTTAGCCTTCAAGATATTGGTGGGGATTTGGGCAGAAGAGGCTTAAAAGTGACATTTTTATCTGTTTAAATGTGCCTGTAAAACACTGCAGCTTTCTTGTTCAAGAAAGTAGTTGCCGTGTTCTGTTGGAAAGAAGGCTTAGTTATTAATCGTGTGAATGGTGGCCTTTCATAGCTGTTTTTTGAGTTTTAACACTAAATTTTGGTTAAGAAGTGTATTATATAAAGATAATTGTTGTCTTTTAAAATATAAAATAATCTCTTTACTAATAGTGGAAATTTTCATAACATATAAAAATAGAAGAATATAGTGAACCCTCATGAGCACATCACTCAGCTTTAAGTGTTGTCAATATTCTGCAGCTTGTTTCAAGGTGGGTTTTTAATGTAAAATTTTTTTGATGTTCATTTATTTATTTTTGAGAGATACAGAGAGAGCAGGGCAGGGGCGGAGAGAGATGGAGACAGAGAATCCCAAGTAGTATCCACACTATCAGCACAGAGCCTGATGTGGGGCTCGAACTCACGAGTTGTGAGATCATGACCTGAGCCCAAACCAAGAGTCGGAGACTTAACCAACTGAGCCACCCAGGCTCCCTTGATGTAAAATTTTTAATAGAAACAAGCATAGATAATTGATTTGCATATTTTGAAAAGACTATGTGTTTATGCCAGAATCCGTATTGGTGTGTGTGTATGCATGTGCATGCGTGTGTGTGTGTGTGTGTGTGTGTGTGTGTGTGTGGTGTGGTGTGTTTGTGTGTCTGAAATCAACTTTTATTCAACTTCAATTTTAAATCCTTTCTGGGGAAAAAAAATCCTTTCTGGAACAAGGTAGATCTTCCTTAAATAGAAAATAATGAGTTGACTTATTTATTGATACCTAATGCATACCCAGCCTTGTATGAACTTTTCTGAGGGAACAATGGCCAAGAAATGCTAAGACAATGTTCCTCAAAGAGGTAGAAAAATAGGGACTAAATCAAATCTTATCCCAGGGTCAGAAACAAGTAGGTGAGGCCTTGACCTCGAGCAGAGTTTCCCAACATTTCTTGTCCTGAAAGCCTCTTTCATAGTATTAAGCAATCTCTTGAACCCCTGAGGAATTTAAAAAATAATTTCATCATTTCTGTGTAATGTACAAAAAAGTGTTGACATACATTTTATTTTATATAAGCCTATTTTATTAAAAATTGTGTTGGAAAGTATCTCAATTCTGTATCTCAAGGCCAAAGTTGAGTTAACTCTTGAAGGAAATTACATTGAACTTGTATCTAACTCAGCTGCTTTGATTCAGCAAGCCACAACAGTTAAAAAAAAAGGATGTCAGAAAATCTGGGGATAGTATCTATGTTTCTGAAAAAGGAACAGTTCAGCAGACTGATGAATAAGATCTAAGTTGTCCAGCTACAGAAATAGCAAGATGTCAGATGATTTTTCAGACTTATTTGTAGTATTTTAAAGATGCAATAAAAGCTGTATTGATTGGAACTTTTTCTTAAAGCAATAACATAAAAAAAGAAAGTTTATTTTAAATAAATTGAAAATATTCAAAAATAAATTACGAATATTTAAGATGCTCATGTACATAAACATAAATTTTGGCATTCTCCCATTTAATAATCATACATTATTCAAATTATTTTAATTACACAAGAAAAAGCATTTTATGTCACATTTTTAATTTTTTTTTTTTTTTTTCAACGTTTATTCATTTTTGGGACAGAGAGAGACAGAGCATGAATGGGCGAGGAGCAGAGAGAGAGGGAGACACAGAATCGGAAACAGGCTCCAGGCTCTGAGCCATCAGCCCAGAGCCCGACGCGGGGCTCGAACTCACGGACCGTGAGATCGTGACCTGGCTGAAGTCGGACGCTTAACCGACTGCGCCACCCAGGCGCCCCATTATGTCACATTTTTAAATGGCACACTCTGTTTGGTTTTAGGACCAAATGTATTACAGTGGTATTTTCCAAGTCTGGTACACCTACCTCTTTTTGTATGGGAGGTGACATTAGGTGTAACAAAGAAGAAAGTTATTTGTTTTCAGTGTTACATATTTATTTGAAGGGCATTTGAAAATACTTATCTCATGTATGGTAAGAATAAATTTTTCTTCCAAAATAAACATTTTAAGGAAAAACATTTTAGTAAATAATAGTACATGTGGCACTTGGATATGCAAACAAACAAACAAACAAAAAAAAGCAAAAAAAAAAAAGCCAACGTGAAGTGATACACAAAAAAACAAACTTTGTGAAACAAGATGTTGTGGCATCAAAAGTGGATAAAAGTTGCTTACGTAACGTTTGTTTGAATTCTTGAATTTTGCTTTTCAAAAAGTACATTTAATGTTTTGTTTGTAAATAACTATGTAAGAGAAATGGTCTGGGGCAGTTTTTACAAGTATTTCGCAAGTAATGCAAAGCTAGTAGAGATAGTCTCTATTCTCAATGTGTGAAAAGCCAAACTAGACATAAATTAATATAGAGTGTATGTGTGCAACTTACAGTTCTGGTGAAAATCATGAAGCGATTTTATGTCCCTCATACTAATTATATTTCAACGTCCTTGCTCTTTCTGCTTCATGTTTTTAACCAATTGTCTATTACAGGTTTACAGGAGAAGGAAAGGAGAAGAATTTTGCCTTCCACTTGTTGGGGACATTTGACAATGTCTGGAGACAAATTTGGTGTCACAACCCTGAGGACAAGGGTACTACTGTCATCTCTCTAGTGGGTAGAGGCCAGGGATACTGCTAAACATTCTACAAAGCACACGAAAGCCCACCACAAAAAGAATTATTTGGCCCCAAATGTCAATAGCACTGAGGTTGAGAAATCCTGATACTACGTAAACAGTACATGTCTATGAAAGATAAAAATTTAAGGCAATGAGGTCAAAACTATCATGGAAGCTATTTTGTGGAGCGGTAAACTGAGTGACTTGCCTTCTTATGAGCAAAGTCATCTTCCCCAACCTCTGGGCATGTTTACTCAGAAGTTCTAGATGTTCGCTTTTAAGGGGGAGAGGGACCTACAAATTTAAATTATTATGCATATTTATTGACTTAAAAGTAGAAAGAAAACAGACACCTTAACCATCTTTACTAATGTGAAACTTTGAGGCTTTGCTGATCTGAGGGATGAGAGCAATAGGCCACACAGGCTGGGATTCGTCTCTGGGACTTTAAAAATTGAACTTGAAAGAGAGAAATCTTTCCTCTACAAAGGAGAGAATGATGCTGAACCCCAAGAAGAGAAGGTTGTGAGAGATCCGAGACAAAGGGCTTCTGACAGTGTCCTCATTACTGGATCCATTCATCCCTGTGATTTGGTTACTGGGCCAGGAAATTGCTCATTTTTGCTTAAGTCAACTTGAATTAGGTTTCTGTCACTCACAACCAAAAAGTCTTGACTGATATACCAGTGGATTAACATAGGCAATATTTCAAGAATTAGTAATAATGCAACAAAATATGAGTTTTGAACTTGACATTGGCTCTTTGATTACAAGGTTTAAGAAAGACATCCTAAACTACTCACTCAAAAAACATTTCTACCTCGCATGTACCTAATCCTAATATTCTGTGTTGGGTGCTAGAAACACAAAGACAAATAAAGAATAGCCTCTCCTTTCAAGGAGCTCTCAGGCTCCTCGGGGAGACAGAAGAGCACCACATGCTGTGAGTGCTACGGTAGCAGCAAGCACATCTTATTATGGGGGCCCTTAGAAGGGACAACAACCTTAGCAGGTCAAGAATAACTTAGAGGTGGTGACTGCGTAAACTGAATCTTGAAGGACATTAGATGGGTAGAGAGTACAAAGGGCAATTCTCACTGGATAGAATGCTAGTAAAGGCTGAATGGGGAGGACTAGTAAGGTACAATCAAAACACTCCTAGTGTATTATCGTGGAGCATGGGGTGGGAGGGGTTGGCGTTAGTGATGGAGATGGGAGAGTGGCCAGGAAGGACGCGGGAATGCAGGCCAGGGGTTGGATGTCTTGGTGGAAAATCAGGACGTTAATCCTAAAAGCTTTGGGGAGCCACTTCCTAGATTTTATGCAGGGGTGCAGCATGATGCATGTTGGAAATAATCACTCTGTGGTAAAACGGGGATAATAACAGGTATCTGGCAAGGTTGCTGCCGAAGTTATACATAATATTTAAAGCCATGACTACCATGCTTAGAGATGGTCAGTCAAAAGACGTACTCTCTTTCTTTTCCAAATATTGTTCAAAACTCAGAATGGAGCGTCCATTAGTAGGTGTGATAACAACAAATTTTTACCCAAGGCTTAGGCTCACTCTAAGGTAATCACCAAATCTGCAATGAAGTTGGAATTTAAATTCCAGGTCAGTCTCAGGACTGACTAGGCCATTCAGGTTCCCTCCAAACCAGGACAATGCAGACTGAAACGGAGTTTCCAAGGTTATTCTGACACTAGAAAACCCCAACAGCCACAGTGAAATCTTTTCAATGTCTGAGGAGCAGGGAATAAAACGATCTATAACCACCCATGAATTTACTTTCATATTAGGCTTTTTTAAAACTCAGTAAGATGGGGGCGCCTGGGTGGCGCAGTCAGTTAAGCGTCCGACTTCAGCCAGGTCACGATCTCGCAGTCCATGAGTTCGAGCCCCGCGTCGGGCTCTGGGCTGATGGCTCGGAGCCTGGAGCCTGTTTCCGATTCTGTGTCTCCCTCTCTCTCTGCCCCTCCCCCGTTCATGCTCTGTCTCTCTCTGTCCCAAAAATAAATTAAAAAAACAAACAAAAAAAAAAAAAACAACTCAGTAAGATGTGTTAACTTGGACTAAAAACTAATCCTCAGGAATACTTCTGGGTCACAGACAGCAGAGTGAGGAAGAAATACTTCATTGCAACATAAAATATCAAATTAATCTTTTTCACGTTAAAGGAAGAACAGAGAAGGAACAGTGGAAAAAATGAGTTCACCTCAGGCTACCAAACCATTGCAAGATTTCTCTCTGGAGCTATATGTCACTGGGTTATGAAGCATATTTCACTTTCTGACTGATTTCAAAGGACCTCTTACCCTCCTTATTTAAGTCAGTGATTTAGAAATTTTAAAGAGATAGAAGAAATTATTTGGAAAATACAATAATTAAAAAATGTAATCCCTCAATTTAAAACAATGAAATTTATTTCACTACCAGAGAGTGCTGATTTTGTGTTTAAGGCAGAGTTTGTCTCAAATTAGGGGAAAATGAAAAACATCTGAAAATACAGCATTTTATATGCTAAGTTGGTAAGCAATGCCTGTTTGTTAGTTACAACTTTTCCTGTGTATTTTTTATCAGATAGCCAGTTTTTAAGGCCTTAAATTAACCACCAAAACAGATTTTTCATGAAAATTCCAATTGTTAACATTTTCCAGGCACACCGTAAACTTCAACAACTGAGAACATTTTTCTTTATAAACAAGTTAAATAATCATATGTGTGCATGTATTTGTGTAGAAAACTTTAAAAAGACTATATAAGAAACCACCAACAGTAGCTTCCTCAAGGTTTAGATTGCCAGGTGGAGAGGGAGAGACGAATTTAACTTTTTCCACTTTATAAACTTTGGTACAATCTGATGTTTCTTAATCTTCACAAGCATATAGTATACATGAATGCTTAAATTTTAATAATTTAAAGAACTAGATAAAAGGAATATTTTTCTAACTTATATATGCATAATCTTCATAGTTAATAGCTGTAACTTTTCTCCCCTTTAAGGTCTTATTTGCCAAATCACAGTATAGCCTCACAGTAATGTTCTATATACAACCCTAACCAAAGATTTGTAAATGATCTTGAAATCATAATGCAATCAGTTTACTGCCAAGGCAGATGCAACAGAACTATAGTATGACACACATATATAATAGCCCAGAAAGTTCAAAAAGATAAGAAGGGTGGGCAGATATTTTTGTAAGCGCAAATTTAGATACAGAGTAATTTTATGTTCCTAAACATTTTTCTACTTCTATACATTTCACATTTGATTGTTAAAAATCAAAATACTTCTCCTAGCACATTATTAAACACTATTAACAAAGTTGTTTTCATTTTTAAATGTAGCAGGTGTCCAGAGTAATTTATTTTTCCCAAGGAACCCATTTGACTCAAAAAGTTAAACCCGATTCTAGATGTTAGCCTCAATGTGAGGTGAAGTCTCTTCAAAATCTCTGAAAGATTGCTCTTTTAAAAACATTCTTAATGAAAACATTTCATGTTTAATTATGTTGTCATTTATAAGTTAATTCATTTAATCCCACTAAGCTTCAGTTTCCTCATCTTTAAAATGGGAATACTAATAGGACCTTGTTCATGAAGTTATCACAAGGATTAAATGTGTTAATGCATGCAGACTGCTTAATATGGTCTGTGGTACAGAGTAAGCATCCAACCAATATTTGCTATTTTTTTGCTTACATTTTCAGCATTGTTTTAGTAATTTTCAGATTTCCCAACGTTAACTGTAGCTTTTAAAACATACTGAGTAGAGCATAGTCTTCCCAGTTTTTATATTACTAGTTTAATTTTAACTCTTAGAACAGTTAACCTCATCTTTTCTGTAACACAGATAAAACCACTGTGAAGTACATTTGTCTCAATTCCTGTATTTAATATGTATCAGTTAGCTAACCTGTATCTAGCTTATTATTGCTAGGTATCGCTAAGAATAGCAATACTAACAACAAATATTTATTGGAAATGGTCATGCCTTAAAAGAATCCTGAAATGGTTGCACATTTTCAGAAAAGGTTTCAGCATTTAGATTTCTAAAGTACTGGTTTTTCATACAATGAAAGTGAACTCATATTCTCACACTGTATACTTGCAGATTTTGAGTTAAAATGTTTTTAAAGGGCAACATTTAGGGAAAACAATCAGCTTAATCCATTACTAAGAGCCTAAATAAATAAAACACGACCTTAAATATGAAATTTGAGGATAGAACTTGTGAGTTAGGCTAAAATTAGTTGAATTGATATTAATGAAAATAATTATTTAAACAGGAGATACATTTCTTAGTGATTCTCTTTAACTCCTGCTCCTTAACATTCTGAAGCTATAACATGAAGCCAGCCGTACAGTACCTTGATGAGGTTGTGTCCCACAGAGTAGACAGCTGCTAAGTTTCCCTTCTCTCCAGGCGCATGCAGACCTGTCCCATACCCATGCCAAGCAACTAGATATGGATTATGAATTGTAATCCAATATTTGACACGGTCCCCAAACGTCTGGAAACAGTAGGTGGCATAGTCATTGAAAATATCTATTATGGTTTCATTTTTCCACCCCCCATATTTTTCTTGTAGGGCCAAAGGCAAATCCCAATGATACAAAGTAACTATCGGCTGAATGTTTCTAAGTACTAGAGCATCAAGAAGAGCATTGTAATACTGGAGACCTTTCGCATTGGCAACTGCTGCTATTCCATCGGGGAAAAGCCTTGGCCAGGAAATTGAAAATTGATAAAAAGAAGCTCCAATAAAATCCAGGGCTGATAAGTCTTTTTCCAGAAAAATGTAACTGTCGCTGGAACTGTCCGTGCCGTTGACATTTTTAAGGTGTGTTTGGATGAAATGATCCCATATAGAGGGTCCTTTTCCATCTGTCTTCCAATTCCCTTCCACTTGAAATGCTCCAGTCCCAACACCCCAAAGAAAGTTTTTAGGAAAAGTGTCATAGAGAAACAGCTGACTTTCATTTACCGGGCTAAAATGAGGATTTTTAGACCACACAGCTCTGCCGTCTCCAGAGAATCCAGTAACAGCTCGCAGGAGAATAAATGCTGACAGGATGGCAGATCTTTGCAGTCCCCGGTTGCACATTGTTTTCCGATAGTGTATGTTTCTTTCATCGGTGCTGAAGAAAAAAAAAAAAAAAAAAAAAAATCCATTCATTCCCTGGAGATCCAGCCGCACAGCCGGACTTCATTTGCCACTAACTGCTCGCCTGTCTTATCAACGCTTCAGTAAAAGCTTGTGATTGTAAACCTCTGTCAATGATTAGCTTGAACTGTGAGACTTAGGATGGGCCACGGAGAGCAACGTAATTTGAGGGAGGTGGCTCTCCTACGCTCCCCAACACATTTCATTCTCTCTTACTATGGGAAAGATTATATGAAAACACATCACTGACCGTAGTTTGCGTAACGAAAACATGTATAAGCACTGAATAAAAATGCCATATTCTCTTTGTAGCCTTTCATATTGACCCAAATCTTTTCTGAATGTTTTGAACATTACTGAAAAAAATATATACCTTTTCTAGTTTTATATTTTTTGAGTGGTAATTTTATTTTTTCGCGTTTCAGGGGAAGCAATACAAACAAGGAGCATTCCTATAAGCTTATAATGCAGAACTAGAAAATAAAATATCACACTTCTACCAAAATTATAACACATTGAAGAATAACATTATCAAGTGCTACCTATTTTAAGAAAATTATAAAAATGTATCAATACATTTGAAAGAAAACGAATGAAGAAATATATAGCTCTTTCTAGATGGAAACACTGAATACTTTCCAACTTAATTTATAAATTTAAATGTACTTTTGACCAATATCCTCTAAACCCCAAATTTTACTTCAACAAAATTATATGAAAGTTTTCTTGAAGAATAAATAGGCAATAATTACAACTAAAGAAAAGAAAAAGAAAATAGTGAAGGCATAGACTACCTTTACATATGAAAACATAAAAAAAAAAGCATAACTTAAATAACATGAATCTGGTATAGGAATAAATGAAAGAAAATACTGTACAGAATCTATAGTCTCCAGATAAAACTTTTTAAAAAATGTATTCTTTTAAATATTTGAGATATCCCATAATAATGAAAGAGTGGTTAACAGTTTGGCCTCTGGAATCAGACTGCCTGAGTTTAAATATAGCTGTGTGACTAGAAACAAATTATGTAACCTTTCTGTACCCCAGTTTCTTGTTATGTAAAAAAAGGCACAATACTAGTATCTACTGCATGGATAATTGTGAGAATTAAATGAGTTAATACATGTAAAGCACTTAGAAGAGACACTGACACTTAGTAAGCGCTCAATAAACATTATTCTTATTTCTTTGTGAAAAGGAAGGATTATTCAGAAAGTGATGCTAAGATTTAGCATAATAGATACTATGTTCTGGCTCCTGCCCACATTTTAAACTTCATTTCTCTTCAGTTAACTATATGTAGTACCCTGCCCTTCAGCCATAACAAATAATATTACTAAGTTGGACACACATTAAGCCCTCATATCCTGTGCCTTGGTACGCATGCTGTCTGCATAGGATGTGTTTCCCCCTTCATCTAGCTCATGTCGACATGTTCTTCAAAACTGCAGCACCTTGGGGCGCCTGGGTGGCGCAGTCGGTTAAGCGTCCGACTTCAGCTCAGGTCACGATCTCGCGGTCCGTGAGTTCGAGCCCCGTGTCGGGCTCTGGGCCGATGGCTCAGAGCCTGGAGCCTGTTTCCGATTCTGTGTCTCCCTCTCTCTCTGCCCCTCGCCCGTTCATGCTCTGTCTCTCTCTGTCCCAAAAATAAATAAACGTTGAAAAAAAAAATCAAAACTGCAGCACCTTTTCTGGCAAGTCTTTCTGGCTTCCCAGTTTGTTTTGACTTATTTATTTATTGAAATTTTTAAAATTTACAGTTTATTAGTCCTCTTGTGAAAAAAGTCCTCTTGCACAATCACTGCAGATAAAGTCACTGCAGAATCTTTACTCCTGGGCCTGATCTCCAGCTCACTTTTGTCAGCACCAACACTGGCCTTTGCAGTCCGCCTGACTTTCTTCATTCTATTCTTGTGTTCCTTTCACTGTTTCCTTGACGTCTGTTTCTTCTCATAGAGGCCATGTCTTGCAAGTCTGCCTGGGTTCATTTTTGGAAGTGTAATCCAAGAAATCATAAATCATGCTGAAGCCAGTTGTCTTGCCATCACCAAAATAGGCTCTGGATCCAAATCCAAATATAGTATCTGGTGTCATCTGGTCTTGTGCATTTTGGGTGGTTTTTCGTGAATTTCTGTCTTAGGTCCTGTTGCATTCTCAGGGTAAAGTAGTCGGTTGGTCATGAACTTCCTGGTCTGGATATTTACCATGTTGCTCATGATGGTGGTTGATCCTCAGGCAGCCAGAGAGGAAATAAGACAGTTTGATTTGATATGGATGTATCTCTTTGTTCCGTGTTCCCATCGCAATCCATACTTTCTCTGTTATGACATTTATCACACAATACATTTATCTATAACCTCTTTTTGACTTGAATTTCTCTCTCAGTCTCTCTTTTTTAAAAACAAGGACCATAACTGTTTGGTCCCAATAGAATATTTGGGGCCTATTAGTCACTAGACTTGAATGAACGTGCTTGTAGTATAGTATGCATATGTCTATCACTGCATTTATCACATGATCCTGGATGGTTTGTCTCCTCTCCCAGACAGTAAGTGTATCTCTTATCTAAATTTTTATCATCACTTATCTAAGTAAATGCTTAATCATTGTATATGGAATGAATGGAGTTGATGGAATCAATTCACTATTTCTAAAATATTTTTTCCAGATTTATTGAGATACAACTGACATATAACATTGTATTAGTTTAATATGTACAGCATAATGATTTATGTCTGTATTGTGAACTAATTACTAAAAATAAAATTTTTAAGTGTGGTTATTTATACCCTCACAAATATATTTGATTAAAAAATATATAGCTACAGAAATCTAGAAGAAAATGGAAGTAAATGTTAAATTACATAAATATATAGTTTATATAATGATATTTATATACTTACATATGAACTTATAGAAATAATTTAACTATAATTAAAATAAATGAAGAAAATTGAAAGGCAAATAACAAACTTGGAAATATTAGAGTAAATCTAGAAGGCAAATGGCCAACTTTTTATTATATAAATAATTCAGGCAAATCATTAAGGAAAACACTCTAAATTAGATAAATGGCCAAACAACATGAATAAAAAATATGCAAAAGAGGAAATGCAACTGTGTAGTTAATGAAAACAAATAACCAGTAATTAAAAACACATATAAAAGTAACTCCAGGAGAGCCTGGCTGGCTCAGTTGGAAGAGCATAAGACTCTTGATCTCGGGATTATAGGTTCAACCCCCTTGTTGGGTGTAGAGATTACTTAAAAATAAAATCTTTAGGGGAACCTGGGTGGCTCAGTCAGTTAAGCATCTGACTTCAGCTCAGGTCATGACCTCGAGGTTAGTGCTTGGAACCCCTGTCTCTCCCTCCCTGTCCCGCCCCCAAGGTCCCTCTCTCCCCCTCCTTAAAAAATAAATAAACATTAAAAAATAAAGTAAAATAAAATCTTTAGGGTGCCTGGATGGCTCAATCAGTTAAGTTGGGTTTTTTTAAGTTAAAAAATTTTTTTTAAAAATCTTAAAAAAAAATTTTTTTTTAATGTTTATTTATTTTTGAGACAGAGAGACAGAGCATGAACGGGGGAGGGTCAGAGAGAGGGAGACACAGAATCTGAAACAGACTCCAAGCTCTGAGCTGTGAGCACAGAGCCTGACGTGGGGCTCGAACTCACGGACCGCGAGATCACGACCCGAGCTGAAGTCGGCCGCTTAACCGACCGAGCCACCCAGGCGCCCCTAAAAAATCTTTAAACAAAACAGAACTCCGTAATATTTTCTCTTATTAAATTAGCAAAAATAAAACTAAGTGATGAAACCCCCTGTTAATGAGATTGTAAGACTCATTGTCTTACAGATTGTAAGATTTCTGATTAGAATGTGAATTTGTACAATACTAATGGAAAACAATTTTTTTAAGTTTATTTATTTATTTTGAGAGAGACAGAGCGCAAGTGGGGGAGGGGCAGAGAGAGGGAGAGAGAGAATCCCAAACAGGCTCTGCACTGTCAGCATGGAGCCTGACATGGGGTTCGAACTTACTAGACACCATGAGATAATGACTTAAGCCAAAACTAAAAGTTGGACGCTTAACCCGCTGAGCCACCCAGGCAACCCCCAAACAATTTTTTAATATATAATTAACCTTAGATATTTTCATACTTTTAAATTCAATAACATCAGAAATTTATCATAATAAATTAATTCTAAATACATAAAATACTGTATATGCAAATATTTTATAGCAGTATTATTTATGCTTGTGCACACATGCATTCTCTCTCAAAATAAATAATCTTTAAAAAAAAGAGTCTCATGGTTTGCTTTCTTCTCTCTCTCCTTTTTCCACCCTTCCTGTGTGTTTATCTGTTTTGTTTCTTAAATTCCATATATGTATTTAAGTCATATGATATTTGTCTTTCTCTGACTGACTTATTTCACATAGCATAATACACTCTAGCTCCATCCATGTCATCACAAATGGCAGGGTTTCATTCTTTTTGATGGCTGAGTAATATTTCATGGTATATATATGCCACATCTTCTTTATCCATTCATCAGTTGACAAACATTTGGGCTTTTCCCATAGTTTGGCTATTGTTGACAATGCTGCTTTAAACTTCTGGGTACATGTACCACTTTGAATCTGTATTTTTGTATTCTTTGGGTAAATACCTAGTCACGCAAATTGCTGTGTCATAGGGTAATTCTATTTTTAACTTTTTGAGGACCCTCCATAGTGTTTTCCAGAGTGGCTGCACCAGTTTGCATTCTCACCAACAGTGTAAGAGGGTTCCCCTTTGCATCCTTGCCAACATCTGTTGCTTCCTGTGTTGTTCATTTTAGCCATTCTGACAGGTGTGAGGTGGTATTTCATTGTGGTTTTGATTTGTATTTCCCTGAGCATTTTTTCGTGTGCCTGTTAACCATCTATATGTCTTTTTTGGGAAAATGTCTATTCATGTATTCTTCCCATTTTTTAACTAGATTATTTGTATTTTGGGTGTTGAGTTTGATGAATTCTTTATAGATTTTGGATACTAACCCTTTAACAGATATGTCATTTGCAAATATCTTCTCCCATCCATAGGCTGCCTTTTAGTTTTGTTGATTGTTTCCTTCTCTGTGCAGTGAATTCTGCATGTTGCTGTCCAGTTTCCCCAGCACCATTTGTGAAAGAGACTGTCTTTTTTCCACTGGATATTCTTTCCTACTTTGTCAAAGATTAGTTGGCCATATAGTTGCAGACCCATTTCTGGGTTTTCTATTCTGTTCCACTAACCTATGTGTCTGTTTTTGTGCCTATACCATACTGTCTTGATGACTACAGCTTTGTAATATAGCTTGACATCAGGAATTGTGATGTCTCCAGTTTTGCTTTTATTTTTCAGGATTGCTTTGGCTATTTGGGGTCTTTTGTGGTTCCGTACACATTTAAGTATTGTTTGTTCTAACTCTGTGAAAAATGCTGTTGGTATTTTGATAGGGATTGCATTAAATATGTACATTGCTTTGGGTAGTACAGACATTTTAACAATGTTTGTTCTTCCAATCCATGAGCATGGAATGCTTTTCCATTTCTTTGTGTCTTCTTCAATTTCTTCCATAAGCGTTCTATAGTTTTCAGAGTACAGATTGTTTACCTCTTTGATTAGTTTTGTTCCTAGATATCTAATTGTTTTTGGCGCAATTGCAAATGGGATCGATTCCTTGATTTCTTTTTCTGCTGCTTCATTATTGGTGTATAGAAATGCAACAGAATTTCTGTATGTTGATTTTATATCCTGTGACTTTGATGAGTTCATGTATTAGTTCTACCAATTTTTTGGTGTAGTCTTTTGGGTTTTCTACATAGAGTATCATGTTGGCTACAAATCGTTTGACTTCTTTCTTGCTGATTTGGATACCTTTTATTTCTTTTTGTTGTCTGATTTCTGAGGCTAAGACTTCCAGTAGTATGTTAAATAGTAATGGTGAGAGTAGACATCCCTGTCTTGCTCCAGACTATAGAGGAAAAGCTCTCAGCTTTTCCCTACTGAGAATGATATTAGTTGTGGGTTTTTCATATATGGCTTTTAAAATGTTGAGGTATATTCAATGATTTTTTTAAAAAGTAAGCTCTATGATGGGGTGCCTGGGTAACTCAGTCGGTTGGGCGTCGGACTTTGGCTCAGGTCATGATCTTGTGGTCTGTGAGTTTGAGCCCCATGTTGGGCTCTGTGCTGACAGCTCAGAGCCTGGAATCTGCTTCCAATCCTGTGAGTACCTCTCTCTCTGCTCCACCCCCACTCACGCTCTGGCTCTGGCTCTCTCTCTCTCAAAAATAAATAAACATTTAAAAAAAAAAAAAGTAAGCTCTATGCCCAATGTGGGGCTTGATCTCATGACTCTGAGATTAAAAGTCTCATGCTTGGGGCACCTGGGTGGCTCAGTCAGTTCAGCATCCGACTTCAGCTCAGGTCACGATCTCACAGTCTGTGAGTTCGAGCCCCACGTCAGGCTCTGTGCTGACAGCTCAGAGCCTGGAGCCTGCTTCAGATTCTGTGTCTCCGTCTCTCTCTGCCCCTTCCCCGCTCATGCTCTGTCTCTCTCTGTCTCAAAAATAAATAAAAACATAAAAAAAAAAAGTCGCATGCTTTACCAACTGAGCCAACCAGGTGCCCCTTAATTTTTTATTTTTAATTAAAAAAACATAAAAGGATAAAACGAAAAATTAGTCAATATTAGATATAAAAGTTTATTGATGAGAAACTGTACTTTCCTGCAAAGATGAGGAACAAGGCAAGGATGTCTACTCTCAACACTTCTATCCAACATCATACTAGGAGTCCTAGCTAATGCAATAAGACAAGAAGTGGAGAGAAAAAGTATAAAAATCGGGAAGTAAAAAATAAAAGTCTCTGTTCATAAGTGATGATTATTGTCTATACAGAAAATCCCAAAGAATCAATCCTGGAAATGGGAAGCAACTATAGCAAGGTCACAGAATATAAGTTTATATATATATATATATATATATATATATTTATATATAATATATAAATAAATATAAAATATATAAATATATATAAATATATATTTAAACTTAATATATATATTTAAACTTAATATATATGTATTTAAACTTATATATATATATTTAAACTTTATGTTATTTGTTTTTTAAAGTTTTATTTTCATTCTAGTTAGTTAACATACAGTGTTATATTAGTTTCAGGTGTAGAATGTAGTAATTCAACAGTTCCATACATCACTCTGTGTTCATCACAACAAGTGTACTCCTTAATCCCTATCACCTGTTTAACCCATCCCTTCACTCACCTCCCTTCTGGTAACCATCAGATTGTTCTCTATAATTGAGTAGAGGTTAATATCTAAAAGTCAATTGCTTTATTATTTACCAGAAGTGAACAATTGGAATTTGAAATTAAAAAGACAATACTACTGGGGCACCCAGGAGGCTCAGTTGGTTACATGTCTGACTTTGGCTCAGGTCATAATCTCATAGTTCATGGGTTTGAGCCCTGCATTGGGCTCTGTGCTGACATTTCAGAGCCTGGAGCCTGCTTCGGATTCTGTATCTCCTTCTCTCTCTGTCCCTCCCCTGCTTGCACTCTGTCTCTCTCCCTCTCAAAAATACACATAAAAAATTAAAAAAGAAAATGCAAAAATAAAAAGAATACTATTTACATTAGTACCAAAAAAATTACATACTTAGATAAATCTAACAAAATATGTACAAGATCTATATGAGGAAAACTATAAAACTGATGAAAGACATCAAAGAAAATCTGAATAAATGGAGAATTATTCCATATACATGGACAGGAAAATTAAATACTATCAGGATGTGAATTGTCTGTAATGTGACTATAGATTCAATGTAATCCCAATAAAAATCTCAGCTAGTTATTTTCTAGATATTGAGAAATTGATTCCAAGTTTTATATGGAAAGGCAAAAGACCCAGAAAAGCCAACATGGTATTGAAGGACTGATAATCTAAGGACTGAAGTTACCTGACCTTAAGACTTTAAAGCTACTATAGTCAAGACAGTGTGGTATTGGCAAAAGAGCAGACACATAGAACAACAGAACAGACTAGAAAGCCCAGAAGTGCACCTGCATAAATATACTCAATTGATCTTTGACAAAGGAGCAAAGGCAATTCAATGGAGAAAAGATAGCCATTCCAACAAATGGTGCTGGAACAATTGGACATTCACA